TTGAGTTGAGCCAAAAGTAGCAGTCAGCAGCTTTACCATGGCTTACCTTGCCGCAGGCTTGCAAGGAAGAACGCTCCTTCCCCTCAGAATCATCCAGGCTCAATAGACTTTATAAAGCCGAGGGCAGCAGTACTGAGACAGGGGGCTTATTTCTCCCCCCTGCCTTGGGTTCATAATTCCACTGGTCTTAAACGTGCTGCTCTCTTGGCACTCTCCTTGGATGATGTAGGTTCTGCCCAGACTTCAACCCTGGGACTCCTTTCACCTTCTCAACATACAATAAAAAGGTTGGCTGGCTGTTTGACTCAAAGCTCGTTCTGATTTCTGCTCATTCCCTTTTCTGCAGCATCATCATGACCATCTCCTCCACGCTTCTGGCCCTTGTCTTGATGCCCCTGTGCCTGTGGATCTACAGCTGGGCTTGGATCAACACCCCTATCGTGCAGTTACTACCCCTAGGGACCGTGACCCTGACACTCTGTAGCACTCTCATCCCTATCGGGTTGGGCGTCTTCATTCGCTACAAATACAGCCGGGTGGCTGACTACATTGTGAAGGTAAGGCCCCTCTTCCCTTTCCATACTAGCTTGGAGAGCCCTTGATCTCCGACCCACAGCAGAAATGTGAGGAAGTTTGGAGAAGGGGGAAAGGAAGAAAAGGACTTGGAAGTAGTTGCATGGATAAAATTTTTTAAAAAAGGTTTATGCTACGAAGATAACTTCCACTTTTGGGATTCCTAGGATAATAGCTTTAATTAAGACACAGCTTAATCAAAACCAGCATAAAAGAACTATCAGTACTCATCGGAAGGAAACAGATCATAGAGGGGTGGGGAAGATGACAGTGTAATTAAATGGCAACATATTTTCCACTAATTGTATATAATTAAAAATCAAAGCAGATTAAATATAATTACTTTAATAGAATTGGTGCACTATTTTAGAAATGCATGGCTATCTTTCAAAAATGGAACTGGAATTCTGAGAAACTCCATAGTAGGTTCCTTTAACATTTTATTAAATTTTTAAAAGTAAGTTGATACTAATAGGACAAAAGTAATGGAAAAGTGACATTGTAGTAATAGAACACACAAAATATTCACTTTAAAGCACAAAATAAAATTGGGTCCTGGATAAATAATGAAGATTATATTGCCCTCACTAAATGTGTTTCTTTTTCTTTCTCCATTGCAATATTTATGGCTTCTAAAGCTAGTGAAAAGATGGGGGATTTCTATAATTTGTGCAATATTTCTCCGAAGGCTTTGATTTTTTAAAAAATTAATGCTTTCTGTAGCAGTAGAGATTTTAGTAGTTTAGTAGTAGTTTAGTAGATTCTAGTAGTGGACTGGAGGAAAAAAAATCTTTGTAAAATTAAGCTGTCTTTGAAAATTCAAAAATAGTAGTGAAAAAGAATAAACCATGACTAGGATGCTGACTTCAGGTAATTAATCAAATAAAATATGTAACTATTACTGCAAAATGCACAGGCAAATTCCTTTGGACAAATGAAGAGAAAAAGAGCCACCTTAATGTTTCAATTATGTAGATTCAAGAAGACATAATCTTTTGTTTTACTTATTTTCTAAAGTAATCTGATTATATAGTCAGCTTTTATTAATATGAAAAGTAGAGAGTTCTTTTCTGTGCATATATCCAGCCCTGAGTAAAAGAAATCCTGCTCCATAATAAACATGTATATGTGAATGTAAAAATATATGTGTACATGTAAATACGCGTATATTAATACCTGTTATGTATACTCATACTCTTGAGATGCATTAAGAACTTGTTAATCTTAATCATTAAGCTAATACTATTAACGTGATGGCATTTACTATAAAACCTTAGGAAGTCTAAGAGAAAGTCAGTCAAATGACCTACACACCAAAAACAGAAGTATATTTAATATAAATATATTAATAAATTAATGTATTTAATATTCAAATATAATAGATCAATAAGATTAGCTACCTTTGAATTTAAGGTTAACCTCGCCCTATTCTTTAACACACTATTAAGAAATGGTTTATATAATTGTTACACCTTTGCAAATACTTCAAAATGAGCATTCAATGTCAATGCTTGCCCAAATGATTTAAAAGTTCTAAGGATTTTGGAGCCAATATTTCAAAATGAAGAAATCAGGTTGTCAATGCTTTTAATGTGACATACTTTGAAATGGTATGCTTTTACATGTAATAGCTTGGTTTCTGCCAATTGTACATCTGTAGTATCTGTACCTTATATAATAATTATTGTGGCATCCTCTAGGGTAGAATTTGTGACCAGCTGATAAATTTTAAATAACTTTTTAAGAGTGTAGAGTCATGCCAGTCCCAAAGACTGCAAAAGGGATATCACAGCTATCCAGGGAACCAGAAGCAACATTTAAACTGTTCTCTCTGGATCGAGTTTCCTTCCCCTGCCCACTCCTCATTAAAAATAATAAGTTAACTACCAATAAGAAGGAGGAGTAGGAGAGGAATTTTTAGGTTTCCACCTTACTATTCATACAGCCTGTTTTATTTGAATGAGTGAAATGTACCAGTCAGAACATCAAGATTACATGTTTTATACAGATGTCAATTGTACTGTATCTAAAATTCATCTATTGTAATAATACCTAAGCATCATTAGAGACTTACAGATGGGAGGTTTCTCATGAACAAATGAAAAAGGGGAAAGTTGCCAAATTGCAAAGAATTCTTCACATCTTTATTTACATTTTTTTCTCTTACATAATCTAAGAATAGGTAATTGTTTCAATATTGGAAGCAATCCTCTGCAATATATTTTCAGGGTTAAAAAAATCACACACTGAGCTTCAGACATTTTAATCAAGTTTCACAAGTTTTAACTCACGTAAAATGAGAACCAATTTCTTATGGAAAACATGGGGTTCAGTTCAGGGAAAGTAAATATCCACTTGTCTGCTCTAATGATCAGACCATACCTGGGGTATTAGGCTCAGTGCTAAATGCCCTGTTTTTAAGAGGCACATTCACAAACGAAACACATGTTCAGAACAGTCAGGATACCAAAACAAAGTTAGGTGATGGAGGCTTTAATCTGGGGACTATCTGCCTGGAGAAGAGTAGCCTTCCCTGATAACCGGTTTTAAAGCTTTTGAAGAGCTGTTTTTCAGAAAAGCTTTTTTTTTTTTTAAGAGCTGGTCTTTGTTGCTCCTGACAGCCTATATCCAAGTCAATGGCTAGAGGTTATAGAAGGCAAATTGTCCCTCAACATAAGGACAGGCCTCCAAACAATCAGAGCTGCCCAATGTGGCTCTGGATGCTTCCTGAAGAGGTGGCCTGCCCGTCTTCAGAAATATTCTGTCAAAGGTCCTCCATTTTGTGTTGGAGATCATACTAGATTGGTGTTTTCTTCCCTGAGCTTAGGATTCTCTTGCCTGAATTCATCTACAACTATCTCATTGTAATTTTCTATTACTAGGTTTCCCTGTGGTCTCTGCTGGTGACTCTGGTGGTACTTTTCATAATGACCGGCACTATGTTAGGACCTCAACTGTTGGCAAGTATTCCCGCAGCTGTTTATGTGATAGCAATTTTTATGCCTTTGGCAGGCTACGCCTCAGGCTATGGTTTAGCTACTCTCTTCCATCTTCCACCCAACTGCAAGAGGACTGTATGTCTGGAAACAGGTAGTCAGAATGTGCAGCTTTGTACAGCCATTCTAAAACTGGCCTTTCCACCGCAATTCATAGGAAGCATGTACATGTTTCCTTTGCTCTATGCGCTTTTCCAGTCTGCAGAAGCAGGGATTTTTGTTTTAATCTATAAAATGTATGGAAGTGAAATGTTGCACAAGCGAGATCCTCTAGATGAAGATGAAGATACAGATATTTCTTATAAAAAACTAAAAGAAGAGGAAATGGCAGACACTTCCTATGGCACAGTGAAAGCAGAAAATATAATGATGGAAACCACTCAGACTTCTCTCTAAATGTGGAGATACACGGGAGCTTCGTCTTGCTGAAATATTGCTTCATATTTATGGCGTGTGGTAGTGCACATGGTTAACATAAAAGATGACACTGGTTCACATCATACATGTCACAATTCTGATCTTTTCATTTTAAGGTTTGCTGGTGTATTAACCAAACGTTGTCACAAATTACAAATCAATGCTGTAATATAATTTGCACCTGGGATGGCTAACCTGAAGTCTGAATTAAATGTGCTTTTTAGTTTTTACCATCACCAATTTCTATGACTGTTGCAAATTCAGAAACTTTTAGAAAACAGAGTCTTGGAAATGTAGAATTTTGGCGCACTATCTTATGAGTAAAACCAAGCTATCTTTGTTAAGCATAATTGAGTTTAGTGTAATTGTTGTTTAAAAAAAAAAGTGTGCTTGCTCTACTTAAAATTCCTGACAATGTTGAATTTTAACCTGTATTCAGAAAAATTCCAAAACGGGTCAGTTAAATAAGGAAATATACTATTTGTCAAACCAGTATCAGAGAAAAGTTACATTAATGTATTTGATTATTTGATCTGGTATCTACTTAGTAATGAATAATCAACATTTTTTCTAGTGGACAGGCCATGTTCTTTTCGATTGGTCTTCTGCATTTATGTAAACACACCCCAAATCAATTTATCTTTTGGAGGAATGATTTGGTTGGGAAATTTTGCAGAACCACTCTGGAGCAGAGCAAAATGGTACCTCGGGTCATCACTGGGACTGGGGGAAAGGACACGCTCCAGGGGAGAAAACAATTCGCCTGGACGAAGATCCCTGGGCGGTTCTCCATGAACTCGCCGAGGGGGCTTAGTGGGTAGTCTCTCGAGCAGCTCTGAGACTAAACTATCATCTGAGTCAATGAGTAATAACAGACCCAGAACAGTTCCCAAACCTTGGCACTTTCGCTCATTTAGCCGGAGGCACCCGGCCTAGCCTTGGCTTTCTGGTGCGGGGAATGTGGGAGAGCGGGGAGCGAGGGGAAGGGGGAGCGGGGGGAGGGGGGCGGTGCGCAGGCACCTGGAACAATCAGGGCACCGGGAGTAGCCGACTCAGCTGATGCCGGTGATGAATTTCTCTCATTGAAATCCTACCCATCTCGGGCGCCTTGGTTCCCTTACGAATCAGCCCTTTCATCACAAAGAAAGCCCTCTTTCCAGATAATCTAAGGGTCATTGTGCCAACATCCGGGCGTGGAGAGTTTCCGTAGGGAGAAGGACGGAGAGGGGCCCCCTCGGCGGGGACGCGGGCCGATGGCTGGAAGGGCGTGGAGGGCGGTGCAGCGTGCGAGCCCCAGCCGAGGGCCGTCCCCGCCTCCGCTCGGCTGCCCCGGCGAGTCGCCTATTTAGGGTGCGGCGGCGGGCGGCAGCGGTGCGCCCATGGCGGCCCTGGGGGACGAGGTGCTGGACGGTTACGTGTTCCCGGCGTGCCCCCCCTGCTCGTACCCTTACCCGGCGGCCACCAAGGGCAAGGGCGCGGCGGGCGGTAACTGGCAGCACCGCGGCGGGGGCTGCCTTCCCGCCGCCTCCCCATCCTCGGTGGGCGCGGCCTCGTCGTCCTTCCCGGGCCGAGGGAGGCTGACAGCCGCCGAGTACTTCGACAGCTACCAGCGGGCGCAGCTCATGGCTCTCCTGGCGCAGGTGGGGCCGGGTCTCGGGCCGCGCGCCCGGAGGGCCGGCAGCTGCGACGTGGCGGTGCAGGTGAGCCCGCGCATCGACGCCGCGGTACAGTGCTCGCTGGGGAGGCGCACGCTGCAGCGCCGGGCCCGCGACCCCGAGTCCCCGGCCGGCCCCATGGCCGAGGGCACCACGGGCGGCGGCTCTAACTCCCAGCAGCCAGCCTGTCGAGGCCTGGAGCAGGGCGGCCCCCAGAACGGCGCCCCGCGGCCCTTGCGCTTCCCGCGCACAGTCGCCGTGTACTCGCCCGTGGCCTCGCGCCGTCTCACCACCTTCCTGGAGGGACCCGGGGCTGCGGCGGGCGAGCAGAGGTCCGGGGCGTCGAATGGAGAGCGGGGGCCGCCGCCCGCGAGGGTTCAAGACCCAGAGGAGGGGGAGGTGTGGACGAGGAAGGCGCCCCGGCGGCCGCAGTCCGATGACGACGACGACGGCGAGGCCCAGGCCGCTGTCCGAGCGAGCTGGGAGCAGCCGACCGACGGTCCCGAGCTGCCGCCGCGAGAGGCCCAGGAGGGGGAGGCGGCTCCGCGGTCGGCGCTAAGGAGCCCGGGGCAACCTCCGCCGGCAGGCAGGGCCCGAGACGGCGGCGACGGACGGGAGGCGGCCGCCGCGGGAGAGAGGCCATCGCCACGGAGCCCGGAGCCGGGCAAGGAGCGGCTGCGCTTCCAAGTAAGGCCTGGGGCGGTGAGGGCACAGGAGAGCCCGGGGATGCGGGTGTCTTCCTGGGGCCGGGCCCTGTGACTGCTTCGGGTACACTTGAAGGTGTGGCGCTTCCTTAAGCGTGGCCACTTCCGTGTTTCCGAAAGCAGCCAATGCCCGCGACAGGTGTCTTCCCCCACAGCAGTCTCTTGTCCCGACAGCCTGACTTACTCGCCGCGGCTGCTCCACAGGCTGGCCAGGGCAACGCCCTTGGGACATTCACAACCCTCATATTTGCACTGTAAACCTTGGGCAGTGGGCGTGTAGGCCAGTCCTGACCGCGTGGTTGGATGACCTATGAGTACGCACAACTGAACTTCGGGAGCACTTGCAGGCAGGAGAGTCGATTCCGAAGAATCCCCCTCTCCCATTTCTGCACTAGATGTGGCAAAAACCCTTCAACTGCTGAGATTCTGGTTAGCAATTCTGACTTCTCCTTTACAAGCTTCCAGGCTATTGGAAAGCTGGAACTCCTAAAATGCCCCTTCCTAGGAATTTGCTTTGCTTTTAAAAAGCACCCCCACCTCAGAAATCCAATACTGTGAAAGCATTTGGACTGCTCAGTACTGCCGCCCAAGAGCAGCAGGCCGAACCTTTAAAGGGCTGGGGCACGCAGAGGGCAGTTGTGACCTAGCAGAAGTGGAAAGGCACAAGAGGTGGTAAGAAGCCCGAGGGAGTCCTTCGCGGTCTCTTCCACGGCCATCACAGGCTGGTATTCCTTTTGAGGGGCGGTGTTGGTGGCGGGAGGCTGATTGTGTGAGGAGTGAATCGAGAGGCCAGGGCTTTCCAGCGTGGCCATGCACGAGCTGTGTGTGATCTTAGGCCAGTCATAACCTTCCTGGACTTAACAGTCAGTCTCACAGGTGAGCAGACTGAATTAAGTGCTCCCCAGAGTTCCTTCCAATTCTAAAAGCCTAACTCTAAAAACGTGTGTATAACTGGTTACTCACTGGGAGGGAAGAAGGGAAGTTTAGATAACACTACTTTTGTTCATATTGAATATGAATTATGGCTTACGTACAATTTCGGTTCCTGGCACTACTGTTTGGGAATTAACTAGCAGCATGAAGAATGTGATCTTGGTGAACCCCTTAAAGTTCCTTGGATGTGGAGTCTTATTTTTCTTCAGCTTAATACCTTTCACGTGTGCATAGTCTAAGATCAGGCTTCATCTTAAAAGGCCTCCCTGAAGAATCCCAAACTTCAGAGAACTGTTTAACTATTATGTCCCTAATTATTCATTTATCAGCCAGCCTTGTGAACTGAGTGAATCTGGTATATGAACTTTAAGGCCCATGCTTGCTTAATTGTTTGACTAGGCTATTAGCTCACTCCATTACTGTATTGAAGAGGCATACCCAAACCTGACCCTGCTTTCTTTCCTGATCTGGAGTGAAGTTGACAGTTTCAGATATCAAGTAGATCCTTCCCAATGTCTGGAAATGAAGGATAATTCAGGTCTTATGTTGGTTAAACTGACATATCCTGTTGTTCAGTTCTTAGAGCAGAAATATGGCTATTACCACTGCAAGGACTGCAACATCCGCTGGGAGAGTGCTTATGTGTGGTGTGTACAGGGAACTAACAAGGTAAGAAATACCAGGTGACTGGCATCTTCTTGCTAAAAGTGTCAAGGCAATTTTGTTTTATTTTCTTTCTCATCACAGGTTTACTTCAAACAGTTTTGCAGAACTTGTCAGAAGTCTTATAACCCTTACCGAGTGGAGGATATCACCTGTCAAGTAAGTCAGATGTTTTGCATTTTGTCTGACCTGGGCTGTCGTAGAGGTTTTTAGTGTAGTTTGAGTATACTTCCAAAAAGAGGCCAGGTCCCCAGACCTTAGGTTTCAACTGGCTTTTGTTAGGAGTGGTAGAAACAATACTCACCTGGGAAACGGGGCCTTGGTGTTAGCTTCTTTCTGCCCTTGCAAATCTTGCTCTTGTTAACCTCTTCTAAAACTGTTAACCTCACTTGCAATATGGAAGAATACTTGCCTTACTTGCTACTTAGTCAGATATATAAGAAAATTAACAAAAACATGCTTGTCAGCTAACATGAAGTAGTCAAGGTTGACTGTTTTACCGAAATGCCTCTTAGGAAGCACAACCTCAAGGTATTGAGTCTAAGCACATGGGGTTAGTTTGTCTTGCCTGAAAGCTCACAAAGGGGGACAGTTTAAGATAAATCTAAGTTGTCTAGCTTTATGGGGAGTTGACTGTAACGGTAAGCAAGCAATATGTTAATTAAGCATTGCTTAAGTACTTGCTTGCTATTAACTGTGCTAAGGGGCTTAGGTAATCTTTAAGAGGAAAGTGTCTAAATTCGCCTCTTATCACACAGCTAATGGAGTCTGAATTGCCAATTGAGACAGGCTAATCAATACACTTGACCCACGTTGGATATTTAGAAGCATTAACACCCTGGGGTGTTGGAGAGAAACTAAGTATGGCAAGCCACTTAGAATCACTTAGATCAGGGCCGGGCATGTTTGTAAAGGGGGATGCCTTAACCACTCTGCTCTTGGTGTTCGTTGTCAAATTCATCCCTGACTTGTTCTCTACCCTTCCTCTTAAAAAGTTGCAAAAGAAACTTCACAACTCATAATTGGATCTGATGCAATATTAGCAGCACTACAGCATGGTTAAACACTCACTATTCCTAGCCCTGTCATTGCTAGGTAGGTAGGGATGTAGAGGGAAAACAAGATTACTACGGGACCTTGCTTAGAGTGCATTCAATAAGTACTTGAATGGACTAGAGAAATGTTGAAGTCCTAGGAAATCACTAAGGGTTTATCTTCTGTACGCCCTTCTGTATTTTTTTTTCCCCCAGAGTTGTAAACAAACTAGATGTTCCTGCCCAGTAAAACTTCGCCACGTGGACCCTAAACGGCCCCACCGTCAAGATTTGTGTGGTAGATGCAAAGGCAAACGCCTGTCCTGTGACAGCACTTTCAGCTTCAAATACATCATTTAGGTGAAAGTCAGTGTTGCTGTGCATGCACTGATGGAGTAGATGAGTGAGCTTTTCCGTGCCTCTCCTCTCCACCTCTCCCTTCTCAAAATACTTCATGAAAGGCAGTGTATTCTGAAAAAGCCTTCAAATAAAGGTATTGCAACACAATTTATATATTGCATAAAATCTGTCTTGGAAAATAAAGTTTCAAGAGCGCTTGTCTTGTGCTAACAGTCTGGGCCTGTCACTTCACCTTTATGAATGCTTGCTGATGGCAGAGAGTGGGCCAGGCTCTGAGTTAGGCTGTGGCTACTTGGAAAACAATTTAGTGGGGGCTCGTAGACGAGGTCTACTATTTAGGCAGCTCTGGAAGACTGAAGCTTAGAAGGGAGTTAACTGAATAAAAAGCCACCTAGAGATTGTGCCACTGCATTCCAGCCTGGGCGACAGAGCGAGACTCCGTCTCAAAAAGAAAAAAAAAAGCTGCCTAGCTGTAACATTAAGGCATTCTTTTGGGAGAGGTGGAGGCAGAGCCATTTCTTGGTTGCATGAGACTGTTGGGAGGTTAACGGTAGAGTAAGAATGCTGAATGGCGGTGATGGGGTAGGTAAAGGCTTTAGTGTCCGGGTGACTTTAGGAGGTAAGCTACTAGGTAGAGGAAGGCTGGGAAAAGTAACCTGACTAGTCAGTTTCACAAATGTGGCAAAAGTGGGGCTTGGAACAGGGTGGCTGTGGGCAAATGGCTGCTTTAAGACACTGAATAACCCATCAAGTAGACTTTGTGTTTCTTCAAAGCTTTTTTTTTTTTTTTTCTTAAAGTAGGCCTCCTAAATGTACTTATAAGATGTCAAGTTAGAGGCGTAGGCCTTAGCCTTTGTCTTCACTGACTTGGTGCTAGTTGGGATGCCAGACTCTTAACTGCATCTAGTAGCTTCTCATGACAACACTGAGGCCCCACTGCCAGAATGCTCCTAGTTGAGGATGGGACTGAGTTTAGAGCCTCAAGTGCATCTGATGAAATTAAAGTTGTAGTAGTGGTTTAATTAGAGAAACCATATAATTGGAACCATGTGCTAATTATGCCTCCAATTGTCTAACATCCCACTTAAGTGAACTCCTTACTACCTTAGGCCATAGCAGTAAGTCTTAACATTCTTGGACACTTGTTAAAAGGGGCCAAAGTGGGTTTGAGGTCTCCATAGAATCTGTATCTCAAGGGGAAAGGCCCACCTGCATCGATGTGGACGGAGATGGTGCGTGTAAAATGCAGATTACTGGATACCTGTCCTACCTACATTTAACAGGCACCCCCAGCTGTTACTAATGGAATTGAAGCATGAGAACTTGTGCTCAGCAGAGAAGAGGTGGCATCTCATGGAGCTTCTAGTACAGCAGGCAGATGGCCACTAGTTTTTACATCAATGTAAAACCGAGGTTCTGACCTGTGATAAGGACAATCTGCTAAAGTGCCTCTGCAGTAAGGGACCTGACTTAGGTCAGGGAAACCCTGCCTAAAAGAATGACACCTCAGCTGAACTCCATTTCAAATAAGTTGAATGAGGCAAAAATGGCGAGGGGAAAATTTCCAGATTAGGGCAACAATCTGCAAAAGCCCTGTGGTAGAAAACCACCAGGAGGAGGCCACAGTGGGAGAATACTCTGGAGGACATGCCAGGTGAATCTAGCAGTGCCAGACTGGAGGGGTGTTTTAGGCCTTCATTAGGAGGATGGTCTCTACTGGAGTGCAGGGGCTACTCACAGGCATTATCAGGGTACACCACAGCCTCAAGCTCCTGGGCTCAAGTGATCCATCCTCCTGGCTCAGCCTCTCAAGTGGCTGGGACTACAGCCACTTTGTCAGGCTGCACTAAAAAGTTTTAAAGGTATGCTGGAGATAGTAGGGCATGGTGACATATAGACTCACTTTAAAAAAATCACTCCAGCTATACAGTGGATACCTGTAGATAAGGAGACTTGCAGGGACCAGATAAAGTGGTGGCAAGGCTAAAGAGAAATGACAAGAACTGGTGTGGGTAAAGGCGATGTGTTTTTTACTGGTTCTAACATGTTCCTGTTGTTTGGTTGGGGGTAGGTACAGGGGTAGGAAACCCATTTGTACTGTGGCGTGCAAGTGATACATAATGTGATCAATAGCATTTGCTCAATGAATGAATTACATAAAAGGTACCTGCATTGAGTCCTAAGAAATTTCCACTGGCTATTAATATGGTTACATTGTTCTTTAATATTGCTTGCTATTAATTTTCCTAACATAGCAGCTAACCCTATTTTTCAGCTGAGGAAAGTAAGGATCAGACTGTTTTACTTAGGGTGGGTGGGCATGCAGATATTCAACAAAGTGGCACAAAAACATGCCATTCAGATTATGGTGATTACATTCGAGCAATGAAAAGGCACTGCCAAACTCTTTATGTGTACAATCCAAACACTTACAAGATGTGAATGGATTTTAAGACAGGTTGAGAGAGGTTAGAGGGAGATACTCCAGGATGTCTCTGGGTATCAAGAGAAGTAACTGTAGTTTTCTTCAAATGTCCTTTATTTTCTAAAGGAACCATGGATTACTTTGAAAAATCAGGGAAGAAAATGCTATACAATACCAATAAATGGATTTTAATGCTGTCTCTCTCCTTTTGTTTAGGTTATCCTGGTGTTTTATGTGAGCAGTATTTACTCATAGGCCTGAATGAGGATCCTTACTCTTCTCTTGAGTCTTTTTCTAAGAACGCATGTAATGATTTCCTAAATGTAAGGGAGGTTATGTGTTTTGCCACACCCTCTATTTTACATCACTAAAAGTAGAAAATATATTTTAAAATAAGAAATCCTGTGGTTTTGTTTTAGAAGCAGCATGAAGAAACTGCCAGATTGCTGCTTTTACTGTTGTCTTGTAAGTATACTATTTAAAAATGATAACTGTAGTGTGCAAAAGAAAAAGGTTGTATGTAGCAAAAACTGGGCTCCAAATAGAACTAAATCAGGTAATAAATTAAGCACTGGATATATTTAATAAATACTAACTTGGGATTCAGAGGCTGAGGAGCAGAGAAGTGTAGGTTAGAGGAAAATGCTGTTGCAGAAGGCCATCCTCATGAATTTGTTTGCATCTTGATTGCTGGAGGTATATTCACTTTTATTATTAGACTTAGTTACATATAAATAAACGCAAAAAGCAGGTATCAACTGAAAGATCTGGTTGGGTAGTCAACTGATTTTGTTCTTTTTTAAGGCAATTCAACGGGGTAACATTTGAAAGGTTTCTAAATGATGCACACACTCTAATCATTCATTCTTTGTTAAAATACAACACAAACCAACAGCTACAATGCTTTTTATTTTTAACAAAAAGGATGTAAGGAGGGTGAGAAAAACAGGGGAGAGTAAGATAGGATGTAAAGTGTAATGTATCTCTGGACACCATCCCTCTCTGCCTGCCCCACACCCAAAAGTTTTAAATAATTTAAAGGATACCACTTACAGTACCAGAACACCATCAAAATAATTGTCTTTATCAGGGTCCAAAAATACAGTGATTATGAATGAGCCGTGACCAGATATGGAATTTTACTGGATATGTAACTGTGGTCAGCAGTCCAATGGTGTGCACAGTGCCTTCAGTTAATGCACTTGAGCATACGTAATTACATTTCTGGCAGGGTCCACACCCCCAAGAAAAGGTAAAGCTAAGCATTTCATTTCTACATTCTAAACTCTGGAATCACAGAGCCCAGTTTAAAAGAAAAGTCACAGTGGATCACAGTGGATAAGAGATGTATATAAAAAATACAAGGTGTTTCTTTCAAATCAGGAGTTGTGGGACTACATTCTTTTTTTTTTTTTTCTTTTCTTACAAAATGCGATTTAAAAAAGGGTAGAGACTCCAGTTCATGTTATACTACAGACTTACACAGTGAATAAGTATACTGCATGTTTTGGTAGTCAGTCTTCAGGCTTGCTTTCATTTCCCCTAGCCCTAGGTTTCTTTCTTTAGGGTAAAACATGTGAGTCCTGAATAAACATATAAAAAATGCATTTGCAGCTCTTTTCTTGAATTCTGCAGACTTCAAAGCCTGCAAGTCATATATTCCATCATCAGTGACCACATTTTTTTCTTTAGCTTTGTACACCTATTCTTATATAACAGTGCATGGCACAAATGTACAAGAAAATACTGGTTTTAGTCTCTACAGTTTCTATATGGAGTAAAATAAGTTAACTTTTCTAATGAGAATAGCTGACAGGCAGCATACATCTTTATTTTACATTTTAAAGTCTCTGCAGGCATCTACTTTGGTTAGTTATCAACAATCGTAACATAAGCACTGATCAGAGAACTGAGCAGCATTCCAATAACGTTAACAGATATATTATTTCTTTTTGAAATACTGGGAAAGCCCAGTTTTAAAATATTATTAAAATGTTCTAACATTTACATACTATGAAGAGTTAGATCTAATAAAATAACATTTCTTCAAAAATAATCTTGCAGTGCTCTTTTAGGCATGCTCTGAGACGTTATAACCAAACATCCATACCTTGAAAATATCACATATCCACACATCCCAACTCACACACACATAATTCCTTATACAGACCAAAAAACAAACCAAAAAAAACCCAAACCCTTATCCCACATACTGAAAAATCAATGGTTTTTGTAAATGAGTCTTGATGTGTATAGCTGACTGCATGTTCATCTGGATGATTAAGCATCAATTGCAGGTTAGGTTTTTGACTGCTAGAAATTCAAGCAGCTTTGCAGGTCTTCAGCTAAAATGAAACAGCCTTGATTTCAGCCTCATTTCACCCGCTTTTGGATGTTTCAGTATTGGAGGCCATTATTGCAAACATTCTTGGAATTCTTTTCTTTCCCCAGAAAGTAATGTATTTGTAGGCATCACTTTTAGCCCTTTTCTTTTCACGTAGGTTAAGTAATTAAAAAATTCCTTCTTCATACAGTTATTGTGGGAGATGTTGGCAGCTGTTAAAATACCAGATTTTTTTTCTTTCAGATCTTTGTTTTTGATAGTTTGACATTAGTTAAACTAAAAAGTAGATGCTGCCAGAAAGTTATCAGTGAATGCAAGGGTCCATAAAAGGTGCTTGGTTTAATATTCTTCATCATCTTCAGTTTAGTTTCTTTCCTAAAGGCCTGAAGTGTCTCAGAATCCAGTGCTCACCATATTTCCCATTGGTTTGGGCTGTGCTAGAAGTTGGTATGATTGCACCATGCGTAGAGATTCTCTTATTTCCAGATTAAGTTCCATCAGTTTGTAGTTGGCTTCTGACATGTCCAGGTTAGAGCCTATAACTGCAAAGCTTCCTGTCTGGCCCAGCGTCTGATGATGGAAATATATATGTAACAGTGTCTGCACAGGGTCATCTTCACAACTGCCAAAGATATCACTGGGCCAGAGAGATCTGAAAATACACAATAGTTTTTCAGTTCTGAGACTTAGGCAATTATTAGTTAAGACTAACTCAATTTAAGTTAAATACCTATAACAACAACATTTCCTTGTGAATAACATGATCTGTTTTAATATTTGAGCAAATATTACTCAAAGTACCACCTGAAAGTGAAAAGAAATCTAAAATTGGTATCATTTCAATGGCAACTGTTAAAGATACTCATGTTTTCCTTTCATAAAGACATGATATGGAAACAGCAAATTGAAAATGAAAACCTAGTATTACTAAACTTCCTGTCTAATTTAAAGGCATCACCTTTAAATCCTGTCACGTTTTACCTGAAAGCTTTGACTTGTACTACAGCTGATATAAATTCCTTATTTTTCAAAGTTTCAATTAAAGAATGAATGGCAGTTTCTATAGTAGTTTGTGCAGCTTTGGAAATGTCAATTTCTTCATTTTCGGAAACGGACTCAGCTTCTTTGAGGATACTTTCCAGTTGGGCAAGTTCCTCTGACATGTTGATGACCTAAAACAAATACATCTTTAAGGATCTATTCGTATGTTTGGTAACAAAAACATTTAGTTGGCTACAAGAATATACCTGATGGTAGTACCATTGTTGCTCTTATTTTAAAGAGTATTTAAAAATGTTTGCCTTGGAAGAAAGGGCAGTTAATATTTCAAGTACTCCATTCTGTAGGAGCAAATAAATTCCACCAAATAGTAGTCTTGAAATTAAATGTTCTTGATAAAGCAACAAGTTGTAATAAACGGATGTCTATATTGGTTTTAATATTACTACATTTTGGATAGTAAAAGTACATTTACTGTTATGGGGGATCATGAAAACTATGTGACAGTAAAGTCTTTAGATTTTAAAAGATGATTTACCCCAGGGTATTTATATAAATATAAATATAAATATAAATATATATATATATATGTTTACAGATTTAATGACTAAGAAATTAAATCATTTCCCCAGTGATAGTTTTATTACCAGCAGATGACAAGGGGGGAAAAAGACTAAAGTTAGCATCTTTGAGGCTATATTTTTTAACATGTTTATTCTTGTGTGCATTAATAAAACTATAACAATATGGGCTGGGTGTCGTGGCTTATGCCTGTAATCCCAGCACTTTGGGATGCCCGGGCAGTGGATCACCTGAGGTCAGGAGATTGAGACCAGCCTGGCCCACATGGTGAAACCCTGTCTCTACTAAAAATACAAAAAAGTTAGCTGGACGTGGTGGTACACACTGGTAGTCCAAGCTGCCCGGGAGGCTGAGGCAGGAGAATTGCTTGAACCCAGGAGGTGGAAGTTGCAGTGAGTTGAGATCATGCCATTGCACTGTAGCCTGGGCAAAAGAGGGAGACTCTGCCTCAAAAAACAAACAAACAAAAACTATAGAAATATGAACAACATGTTGGGGGAGGTGGGTTGATGATACAGTTTTATGTCTGTATTGAACTGATGTGCTTTATTTGACTATTTTGATTTTCTGAGACAGGGTCTTGCTCTGTCACCTGTGCTGGAGTGCAGTGCTACATTCACAGCTCACTGCAGCTTCTAACTCCTGGGCTCAAGTCATTGTCCCAGCTCAGCCTCCCAAGTAACTAGGACTACAGGTATGTGCCACCATCCCTGGCTTTTACTTGACTTTTGATTATAGATGATCTGTTTCTGCTATGGAAGCCTTTAAGGTCTGGAACCTTTTACAACTGCTGGGTATCTGCTGTCTTATTTACTCATAGGTCCTGACATAGCACATCATTAAAAAACAAATTATTCCTTAACTGAAGAAAAAAAAAGACCACTCTAAGTGACTTTTGACTTAAGCTATTCTAACAACTAATAAATGTATATTTTAAAAATTTTCTAGAATCAGTTACTGATGCCTAATACAACTGAATATTTACCTCTGCTTCATTTTTTATTGTATTTACTTGGTTGATAAGTTTACAGTAGGCCTGGAACAGAAGCAGCAATTGAAAATGCAATTTGTATAATCTTCGGCAGAGCTCCAATTCCTAGAAATAAATAACATTACATTAAATTTAGGTGTTGTTTTCTAGACAGCATATTTCCAATGAAAATTTATAGTTAAAATTGTCTTGTCATTTATTTTTCTGCAGTAAGCAAGTTAATATGGTGTGAAGCTGATGAAAGGCAGGCGAAATATGCTTTAACGACTAAGATTAAAATGAAAACAAGTATCACTGCTGGTTACATAATTCAGTTTTAATGTTAAGCACATTTTCACATTCTACAAATAGACTGTTTCAGCAGGCAATTAATAGGATACTTTAAAAAGGATTCATTAGAATTTAAAACTTTAAATTCATAATTAAAATAATCTACAAATGCAAAGACTTTTGCCCTCATTGAGATGTAGATCTCACTGCATTTATCAACAAATGCTTGATAAAGCAAAGTGAAACCGGATAACCGCTTACCTAAAAAGTAAGAAAAGCTGTCTTTTAAAGTGAGATCAGTTTTCTAAAGAAAACTACTTGGTAATCTCATTGAAATGAAACTATGAAATTAACACGTGGGCTGAGCATGGTGGCTCACGCCTGTAATCCTAGCACTTTGGGAGGCCAAGGCGGGCAGATCACTTGAGCTCAGGAGTTTGAAACCAGCCTGGCCAATGTGGTGAAACCCTGTCTCGACTAAAAATACAAAAAAAATTAGCGGGGCATGGTGGTGGGTGTATGTAATCTCAGCTACTGGGGAGGCTGAGGCAGGAGAATTGCTTGAACCCAGGAGGCAGAGGTTGCAGTGAGTCAAGATCATGTCACTGCCCTCCAGCCTGGGCAACAGAGCAAGATTCCATCTCAAAAAAAAAAAAAAAAAAAAAGTACTTTTTTAAAATTAAGAAATTTAAAAGGAGATATGTTTAAGAAAAAGGTGACTGCTAATTTTATGTATTTTAACATCTATTTTAATAGAACCAACATTTCATGGATTAGGGCTTTGCAAAACTGAAGCACATACTACTTGTAAAGTAGTCCATGACAAAACATTGCTAGGTCACAAATGGACAAATGGCAGATGAAAACCAGTTTGTCTGGCAAGGGTGAGTGGTCTATAAATCAAGACAGGTCACTTACTGCTAGTATTTCCATTTGCTAAGCAAGAAGGTGATCAGGTCACAAAAAATACAAAGAAAGAAAAAGACCAAGAATTAGTGTAAGAAATCATTTTAACTAGGGTCATAGATGTTCCAGGTAAACTGAAGAACATATATTTATACCCCAAAGAAAACTATATGAAGTTATGTCCAGAATAAAACTTTTTAGACATTTACTGCAACAATTCAGGGTGTTTTTAAACACTGCCAAATAATAAATTACATTTAGGCTATGACTTATTTCTGTGTAAAAGCTACAATGTATAAAACTGAACTATTGTGATCTTGGCAAATTTGGCTATCCAGGTTAAAAAAAAAAAACAAAACCCAACTGTAATAAAACTTACATTTGTAAACTGGAAAACTTATGATTAGAAAATAAGAAACAAATTAATTACTATTCTCAGAAAAGAATTGGCTTATAATCGTACATAATAAATACTTATCCATCACCATCAAAAGATTATCTCTGGGGTGGCTCATTCCAGGCTTCCTATCCTTTATGGTCTAATTAGGTCCTACTTTGCCATAATTGGTGCTGAGCCACAGGGTGAAATATCAAAAGCAGATGCGTGTTCTAAATTGCATTCCAAAGGTACTTCAGTAGGTTTCAGAAACTTAACCCGACTAGGTTTGAATCAACATAATGTATGTAAAACACAGTAAAAATTTATGAACCATCTTAAAAACTATATGAACACATGTACAGCAACTGATCTGGTCTCATTACGAGGAGAATGACTTCTAATTAAAACAGCAATTGTTATACTGTAAATGTACCTTCTAAAAGTCATTCTTAAGCCTGCTTTTCTAAATACTTTCCTGTGAAGGGCTGTTTTTCATAAAGTGTATTCCTATCAGTTTAGAAGGGATTTGCTAAATAAGCAAAGGTGAACTTTAGCTCCATGCTGCTTACCATAAATTACGTGGATGCTCATCCAGTAAACATCGGTTGAGCACAATCCAAGGTCAAGCATATTCCGTATCTAAATTTCTGAGGGTTTAGTTCATACAGTTTATTTCATATGGAAATTAACAATTTGAATTGTAAATACCTTTCCTCACTTCTATTAGCACAAATAAAGTAGAACTGATTCTACAAGCATATATGCATAGCCTCTACTTTGGGATGTAATGGAACATAAACTGCTGATAAAGTTTATGATCATAATTATAGGAAATAACACAAATGTAATGAATTTTACAGCTCTGAATTACCAGCAATTACTCTAAATATGCTAACAGGGCGGTTTTTGTGGATGAATGTGTGTGTATATATATATGCACATTTTAAAGTATATTAAAATTTGCACATTCTCTTTTATTCATCTAACAAATATTTGACTGCTTATTATGCAAAAGACAAGACTGGTACACAAGGACAGATCGAGTTGCATAAAAAGGATCTTCCACCCTCAAAAAAGTTGAATATGAAAGGTGAGCTGAAATATAAATGAAAGTGTTAAATGTTCAGTTTCCACTTAGTAGAAAATCTCAAGCTATGTTAACTGACTTGGTCTTAAGATGGATATAATTTTCTTCAAGGTAGAGGGGATATAAAAAAAATCACTTAATATAAACACCTAGTTTTTGTAGGAAAAAAGGTTGCATTACTTGCTGAAGCGATGCAGTTAAATAGTGGCAAAGACAGAATTAGAACCAAAGGATCTAATTCTGGTCTAGAATTCCTTATCTTCATTTCTTTACATAGATGACTTTGCGGTTTCTTTTTAACATTAGTGCAGGATTTGGAGTCAGCCTGCCTAGGTTTCAATCTTGGTTTCACTATTTGCTGATTTTAGATAAATCAGCTTCTCTGAGCCTCAGTTTCCTCATCTTCAAAACCGGGATAATTAAAGCAACTACTTGACTGAGTTGTAAGGATAAAGATAACGATAGAGGCTGGCAAATAGTTAACACTTAGCGAGTATACTGTTATTTTCTCAACACTGCAGTTTTTGCAAAACTTCAACTTTTTACTATAATAGTATAACCTAATAATAGTATAACCTTTACAGAGACTAGAAATCTGTAATAATATAACCAAAGGCAGAATATAAAAGACTGGAATTCTGATGTCAAATGGAAATAATTTTCAGTTGATGAATGTATTTTCCCCTATGAAGCTGCACTCCCATTAGAATAATTTGTAGGCCCTAACTTATCCTCACTTCAATGTATGTGTTTATGTATGTGCACCTTTCTAAGAAAATATAATGCTTTATTTTCACTCAGTCTTATATTAGAGAAAAACATTATAATTTATCCAATTCTAATTTTACCTTTAGTATGGATGTATTATATCACGTTATTCTTAGGGTTGCTTTCTTGACCAATTTATCTAACAGAATAGCAGAATACTAACATGGAACAAATTTTTCTTTAAGAGGCACATGCAACTAAAAGCTGACCTGGGCTTTCCAGATATCCATCAAGCTTATCTATTGAATGTTATTAAGCTTCAGTCACAACCTGGTCGTTCATTTTTATTAAAGTGAATTTTTCATTACGAAACCAGTATTTCACTGAGCTTTTACAAAGATTGTTTGATAACCAAAATGAAAAGTTTTACAAATATTCTTTATTTTTAGAAATAATCAAATAAGGATATTTGAACATATGCATTGTTTTACCTGATACAGAAATACAGCAAAAACAAGAACAAGAAACTTACTTGTGCATCTGTGTTTATCCTATACATGTCTTCTTTGGCACCAAATGTCCTCTTACAATCATCTAGCCACTAAAAATAAGTAACAGTAACATTTAATATGCACAATGAAATGGGTAATGTAACAGCCCGTCCATATACAACACCAAACTTAAAGCTAACTTGAAGTACTAGGATTGGTTGCAGACCTAGAATTTTATCCCCATTCAAGCCAAATCATTTACATGGAACTAACAAAAGCAGGGATAGCGTTAATATAACAAGAGGCACACACTTGTGACAGCTATACTAACAAAACCCATTCCATTCTAGGGACCTGTGATGTTCCATTTCAGTAAAGGATATTCTTCATTTTGCAGGTTTTATGAAAATCTTCACAACCTTTGCCTGACCTTTGTGTAACATAAGACAGGGAAATGAAAGATGTGCTTCCCCTCTAGTCAATATAATAAAGGCAACTTAGAATTAAGCAGGTCTGTTGCTTATGAGAAGTATAATTCTCAGAAGACTAGTGTCAGTTTTAAATTTGTGAACTGGCAATCAAGATCCATTTTAAATCTTGTTTTTCTTTTCTTTCTTTTTGGACAGTAATGAATGACAAACATGTTATTTCCAAACAATACTGGATGTAGAAGCCAAATGTGGTTTTTCCTTCTCTGGGGGTATTCCTAATGTTGATATAAAAGTACAGGCTGGGTGTGGTGGCTCCTGCCTGTAATCCCAGAGCTTTGGGAGGCTGAGCGGGGAGGACTGCTTGAGGGCAGGAGTTCAAGACCATCCTGGGCAACATAGGGAGACCCTGTCTCTAAAAAAATAGTTACAAAAAGGAATACTTTAAAAATAACTTAAAGTACATTTTCTTCAGCAAAATATAAATAAAACAATAGCACTGTGGTATAGTAGAAAAGAACGCTGGACTCTCAGAATTTCCAGGCTGAAGTAAAAGTTAAGTGTGTTCAAGGTAAGCTCCTAGCTTTGGACAGTTTGATATTATCAGTTGTTTTGACTTCTAAGTTCTTTTTTTTAATTATACTATTAAACAATACAACTAATATATATATAGATATATGAAATCATTAGGACTTTGAGAAACTCAAACTAGCTGCATTAAGCAGCTACTCTGAAAGTATTTTAGTATTCGACATTTAACATTCTCTATTGTAGCTTATATTGTACCCACAAAGAATTAAAATTAGACATTTCAGTTATTTCAAAAATGATCTCTTTGACCTTATTTTCCTTTTATTTCAGTCTCTCAGGTTTCACCGGCCCTTAGGCTATTTGCTTGACAGCATCTCTGAAGGAAAACATGTTAAGCTTTTCTAGTGAGATACAGCTGATGGCAGCCATTGTCAAAAGCTATCAGTGGATTTCTTTGTATTAGTAAAATGCAGTTGACATCTAACATGGAACCTGTGCATTAATCTTTATTCATACAAAATGTTAAAATCTTAATTATCCCTTATCTTGTCCAGTTTGTCCAAGTATACTAATAAATTTGAAAATAATAATTTCAGTTGACTAATGGCTTATTTTTGTACTGTGTACTTAATGATACAGCCTTTTGGGGGGTACTATTCAATATAATTATTGCTGATTTTTATTCTGTTAAAAGACAAACCCCAACCATATAGTCCTGTGGCTGCACAATGGCTTGAGAGATACAGGTCCACACCTTTCCAGCCAGAGCATACAAAACACGGTAGTTTGTGCACAGAGCACCCTCCAGTTCACATCTAATCAGTTTTCCTGTCACGGCATTTTCTTTATTCAAGGTTCAAACGAAGGTTAAAATTTAACTGTCGAGGTTCT